CTATGATACTTCTGTGCTACAAGAGACCATTTCTGATGTAGACAATAAACTAATAAAAGAAAACCCATAACATATTCAATTTCATTGATTTTTATCTACATGCACGTATACACACACACACACACACACACACACACACACACACACACCCCACACCAGGGCTAGGGAGAAAGCTTACTGAATAGAAACACTAGCTTTTTTCCTATTCTCTTATTCTTATTAAACATAAGCTTATGGGCTGGGCGGTAGTGGCACACATCTTTAATCCCAGCACTCAGGAGGCAGAGGTAGGCGGATCTCTGTGAGTTCAAGGCTAGCCTGGTCTACAGGAGCTAGTTCCAGGCTCCAAGCTACAGAGAAACCCTGTCTCTAAAAACCAAACCAACCAACCAACCAAACAACAACAACAACAAAAAACCCATAAGCCTATGGACCAGAATTCGATGCTTGGAACCCACACAAAAGTCTGAACTCGGTGCTCTGTATCAACAGTCCCAGTACTTTCATGACTAGGTGTGAGGGGGAGGCAGGAGACCCCTGACCCAGCTAGCCAGGAGTATACAGCGCAGCATCAGAGACAAGAGGGACCCTGCCTTGACAGAAGAAAGGAGAGATTGGCTCCTGAAAGTTGTCCTCTGGCCTCCACATGTACATCCTGCCCCAATAAATAGATATTTTAAAAACTGGATATGAACATGTGGAAGAATGAAAATAGACCCATATCTATCACCATGCACAAAACTCAAGTCCAAATGGATCAAAGACCTCAGCATAAAGCCAGCCACACTGAAACTTATAGAAGGAAAGTGGAAAGTACACTTGAACACATTGGCACAGGGAACACTTCCTAAATATAACCCCAGCAGCACAGACACTGAGAGAAACAATTAATAAATGGGACCTCCTGAAACTGAAAAGTTTCTGAAAAGCAAAGGACATGGTCAACAAGACAAAATGACAGCCTACAGAATGGGAAAAGATCTTCACTAACCCCACATCAGACAGAGGTCGGATCTCTAAAATATACAAAGAACTCAAGAAATTGGACACCAAAAGATCACATAATCCAATAAAAAAATGGAGTACAGACCTAAACAGAGAACTCTCAACCAAGGAATCTAAAATGGCTGCAAGACACTTAAGGAAATGTTCAACATCCTTAGTCATCAGAGAAATGCAAATTAAAACAACTCTGAGATTCCATCTTACACCTCTAAGAATGGCCAAGATGAAAAACACTGATGACAACTTATGCTGGAGAGGTTATGGGGAAAAGGGAACACTTCTACATTGCTGGTAGGAATGCAAGCTGGTACAACCCCTTTGGATGTCAGTATGGCAATTTCTCAGAAAATTAGGAAACAACCTTTCTCAAGACCCAGTAATACCATTTTTGGGTATATACCCAAAGGATGCTCAATTGTACCACAAGGGCATGTCCTAAATTATGTTCATAGCACCTTTGTTTGTCATTGCCAGAACCTGGAAACAACCTAAATGCCCCTTGATCGAAGAATGGATAAGAAAAATGTGGTACATTTACACAGTGGAGTACTATATAGCAGAAAAAAATAACAACAGCTTGAATTTTGCAGGAAAATGGATGGAGCTAGAAAATATTGTTTTGAGTGAGGTAACCCAGACACAGAAATACAATTATCACATGTACTCACTCATAGGTGGTTTTTAAACATAAAGCAAAGAAAGCCAGCCTACAAACCACAATCCCAGAGAATTTAGACAACACTGTGGATACTAAGAGAGACTTATATAGATATAATTTACATGGGAAGTAGAAAGTAGAAAAATACAAGACCTCCGGAGTAAATTGGGAGCATGGGGACTTTGGGGGGGATTGAAGATGGGAGGGAAGAGGCAGGAAGGGGAGCAGAGAAAAATGTAGAGTCAATAAATATCAATTAAAAAAAGAAAAAAGTGGAAAACAAGTCGGGCAGTGGTGCACACCTTTAATCCCAACACATGGGAGGCAGAGACAGGTGGATCTCTGTGAGTTGAGGCCAGCTAGATCTACAAGAGATAGTTTCAAGACAGGCTACAAAGCTACAGAGAAACCCTGTCTCAAAAAACCAAAAAAAATAAAAGGTAAATAAGAAATATTTATTAATACTTATTAATAATTGTGACAGTTACTGTCTGTCAACTGGACAGGACCAGAACCAGCAGTAGAAACAAAACTCTTTGCAAGGGAGTTTCTAGACTAGGCTAGTTGGGAACGAAGACTCACAGTAAATGCTGGGAGCACTGTTCCAGGGGTTGGGAGCACTGACTGAATGGAAAGGAGGAAAGGATCTGGGAGCACCGCTCATCGCTGCCTCCTGGCTGTGGATCCGCCTTATGCTCCTGTTGCCATGGCTTTTCTGCCTCACACTGTCAACCTCTCTTTTTCCTGAGTTGCTTCTGTCACAGCGGCGAGGAAAGTCACTAGGGCGGTAATATTTTCACGGCTCCCAAAGATGACTTTGTTTTCTTTCCTGTGTAGTTTTCTCTGCAGATGCCTCGTGAGGCATCGATCCCATTGCACAGATAAGTAGGTAAAATGCAGGGAGCGCCCAAGATTGGTGGATCACAGGGATCCAGATAAGGGCAGAGGCTGGCACTGCCTCCACCCTGAGTAATTGTAGGCAAACTCTCAGCCTGACTCAGCGCCACCCCCCTGGAGGCAGAGGCTTCCTTGCTGCTGTGTAGAAGACGCTGAGATAAGACAGTGAAAACCTGACAGCCCAGTCTGGGGGACACCAGCACGAGGAGCATGAGGCTGAGGTGTGATCACTCTTACCGATGAGGGGCCAGCCAGAGAGAGACACAAGGAAGCACTGAGCCCACCTGCATCCTGGGACCAAGATGGGGGGACCTTGGATCGCCATTGTGGGTCATCCTTGGGTTTGCCAGCTTTAATGTAAACAAACCCAGGACCTAAAGGATTTAGACTTTTGAAAAACTTAAACCTCTCCATGGGAATTAAAAGCCAGAACCCCAGAGATCTCTAAAGTTTGGAGATCTTCTCAGGATGCTAATACTGATTCCCTTTCTACCTTGCCCAGAGCCCTGCCCTCTGTCTTGGGAAGACAGCTACTGAGGACGTGGGCTCAAGGTAGTTGAGGATTTTATATAAAATAGCACAAAGTTTCCTCTCTTTATGCCATTTTTTTTCTTTTTCTTTTTTTCTGAGACGGGGCTTCTTTGGAACTCATTTTGTAGACCAGGCTGGCCTCAAACTCACAGAGATCCGCCTGACTCTGCCTCCCGAGTGCTGAGATCAACGGCCTGCACCACCACTGCCCACCCATTTTTCATCCGTATTAAGAAATTGCCAAAAAGCCTGGAGAGACAGATGCTCTGTCAGTAAAGCGCTTGCTGTGTGGGCACGAAGACATGAGTTTGATGCCTGGAACTGACATTAAAATAGCCGGGCACGACACTAGAGAAGTTCCTGGCAATCCACAAGGATGGCCCCAGCTAAGACCCTAAGTAACAGAGAAGAGGGGGCCCAAACTGGCCTTGCCCTGTAGTCAGACTGATGAATATCTTAAATGTCACCATAGAACCTTCATTGAGCAACTGATGAAAACAGAGGCAGAGACCCACAGGGGAGCACTGGGCTGAACTCCCAAAGTCCAGTTGAAGAGTGGGAGGAGTGAGAATATGAGCAAAGAGGTCAAGAACATGATGGGTTCACCCACTGAAAACAGTCTACCTGAGCTAATGGGAGCTCACCAACTCCAGCCGGACAGAGAAGGAACAAGCATAGGACCAAATTAGGCCCTCTGAATGTGATTGACAGTTGCATGGCTGGGGCAGACTGTATGGCCACTTGCAGTGGCACCAGGATTTATCCCTACTGCTTGTACTGGCTTTTTGGGATCCTATTCTCTTTGGATGGATACCTTGCTCAGCCTATATATAGTAGGGAGGGCCTTGGACCTTCCACAAAGCAATGTGCCTTACCCTTTCTGAGGAGTGGATGGGGGCGGGGTAGGTGGAAGAAATGGGAGGAGGGGAGGGAGAGGGAATTGGGATTGGTATGTAAACGAAAAAAAGATAGTTTGTTTTCTTTTTTTTAAAAAAGATAAATTATAAAAAAGTAAAAAAATAAAATAATCATTCATGGTGCCCAGAACTTAAACCCCAGCACGGAAGAGGTGGTGGGTCTCTGGGGCTCTCTAGTCAGTCGGCCTAGGCTAATTGGTGAGCTTCAGGCTAACGAGAGACCTTGTCTCAAGCAATAAGGTGGACAGTACTCCTGGGCTCCCCAAGCATGTGTACACACGCATGCTCAAACACACACGTTCTCATGATCACACAGAGAGATGATAGATAGATAGATAGATAGATAGATAGATAGACAGAAGATCGATAGATGGATGGATGGATGATAGACAGATGATAGATGATAGTTGGATGATAGACAGACAGACAGACAGACAGATAGACAGATAGAGCTATGAACCAAACTGACTCATTCCCCCTTCTTCCAAGTGGATGTGTGTGTGCTTGGATCTGAGAGAGGTTCCTGTGAGGAGGAGGAGGAGGACGAGGACGAGGAGGAGAAGGAGGAAGAGGAGGAGGAGGAGGATGCTCTCAGGTAGCAGTTATGAACAGAACTGGCTCTCTTCACAGGGACTTAGAGCAGAGGGAGGACACAGTACCGATAAAGCTCCCAGGCTGGTACAGCATCCTAAACATCCCATCGATTCTCTCCTTGTTCCCAAACTGAAGCCTAGCAAGTGAAGAGAGAGTTTTGCCCAGATACTTGGAATCAAATTCCTGTCCTCCCTGGGTCCTCAGCAGCTTGGCTGCCCTTAATCCCAGTGTCTTAGGGTCCCTGGGACACCCAGGCCCAAAGGCCACCATAACTGTCACCTGGAGATGCTCAGACCACTGGCCTGCCTTCCGACTCATCCACCTACACCTGATGGGCAGGGGCCCAGCTTTGGGATAAATGACTGCCAGCCCCAGTCCCTCCATCACATTCAGAATACCTGGAGTCCCATCCACCTCGACACGCTGTGATCAGCTGGCACTGACTCGGGTAGACAACAAGGACACAGCCGGGAACGTGTCTTCCAGCTTCTCCTCATTCCCTGACTGGACGCTTCAAGGCCAGGGTGTTTGAGAGACAGCTGTCTGCTCGATTATGGTCTCTGAGTACAGCCTGCGTGGGCACACATGCCCTTTGGTTAAGATTACCTCTCCAGAGCACCCTACCAGGTGGCCTTGCTGAGGCAGACATTCAAGACCAACCGGAAATGTCATATCTGCACTGGAACAAAACGCTACACATGGCTATCTAATGGGTCCCTGTGGCTGCAGGTGAAGCCTCCCCTCCCTTCCCTCCACTGCTCCGTCATCCTTTTCTGACCTCCCTGCTCTGGCTTTGTTTGTTGTCTTCTCCTGTCCATAAGTAAAAAGGTCTCCTGCACCCCAGCTGCTGGCCACAGTGACATGCTCAGAGTCTTCCACCCGACAGTTGTCCCCACAAGACTTTGGACTTTTTTTCCTATTGAGCAATTTGGTTTCCTGATACTGAAAAGGCCCAGTGAATTCTGAGGAAGGAACAGCTTCCTTTTCTGGCTGTTTTTACCGTAGCGACTGATGGATGATTCAGGTGATGCCTGTAGGTAGGAAACGGTACTGAGTAGGTCGTTGGGGCACCGTGCTGAATGAGGGGTAGTGCCCAGGGGTTGAAGAGGGGAGCCCAGGGAGAAGACAGCTTTCCTGGGAGGTAGGGGATGTTGGCCTTGAGACCAAAGGTGATGCAGAGATTTAGCCCGGCTAGGAATGACTCCAGGCCCGTTAGGTATCTGGGGTGTGATTCTGGGATGCCAAGGTGTGCTAAGAACCACTGATATCTGGTTGATTCCACAACCTCTCTATGGTAATGAACTAGGTGTTCAGGAACCTCCCATTGCACTCACCAGTGGAAAAACTGCTGGGCAGATGGCCCCAGGCATGGCGCAGCCTGGTCCCTTTGTCCCTAGCAATAGTGGTGTAGACAGTGAGGGAGCCCCTGGGGGTGGTGGTGTGAGCTTGCATCAACTTCGTGTCTTTTTCAGCTTTGAAATTTTTGTGCTTACTTTTTCAGTTGTGTGTGTCTGTGTGTGTTTGTGTGACTGTGTCTCTGTGTGTACTTGTGTGTGTGTGTTTGTATGACTGTCTCTCTGTGTGTATTTGTATGTGTGTGTCTCTCTGTGTGTATGGGTGTGTACATGTGGAGATTAGAGGTTGACATCCACTGTCTCCTTATTCGCTCTCTGCCTTATGTTTTGAGACAGGGTCTCTCACTATACCTGGTAGAACGTGATAAGTGACTAACTAGACTGGCTGGCCAGTGAGCCCCTGGGATCCCGTTTCTGCCTCCCCAGGCCTGAGCTTGCAGGCTTTCCACGGTGTCCAGCTCTTTACGTAGGTCCTGTGGATGCAAACTCAGGTGCTCAGGCTTGGGCCGTGGACCCTTTGCTGAGCCTCCTCCTCAGGTCTCACAGTCTCGGGACCCGACTGTGTCCTCCATCCCATGGAAAGACTGCCCATGAGCTGAGATGGAGTCACTGGGGGAGATGGGGCAAAGCCAAGGCATTTGAATCCTGGTGTCTGCTGGGGGTGCCAGCATAGACGGAGAGATGCAAAGGTTCCGATGTGACTTTGAGTTGGGGGGTCCTCTGTGAGAGCAGCACCGGCTTTTGACCCCTGAGCCATCTCCCTAGCGCTCAGATGACAACACGTGACAGGAAAACCTGTTAGGTCAGGAGGAGAGGTAACCGGTGACGGTGACTGGATCTTAAGGGGATCAAAGACAGCCCAGGAAGGCTGGAGAGATGGTTCCATGGTTAAGAGTACTTGCTGCTCTTGCAGAGGACCTGACTTTAGATCCCACCACCTAAGCTGGATGGCTTCAGGAGATCTGACACCTTCTTCTTGCCTGAACACCCATGTGTACATGCACTCACACTCAGACACACACTGCTACACATAAAAATAAACTTTTTTAAAAATAATAATAATAATAATTCATCTTTAAAGCTGTAAGAGTCTAACTCATGAGCTTCTGTCCAGTCACAGCCTCACAGAACTTTTGACCCCAGTGTGGCTTTTCTCTGTTCCAGGACCCTCGGTCCACTGAGTCATCTGAGAGCAGTTCTGTCACTGAACATACAAATGTCACCCACACTGGGCAGAGTGGGGCTTTGAGGGTACATCAGCTTCTGTCTCCAAAGTGTTCTTGTGACCTCTAACGAACCTTTGGAGTCACCATCAACTCCCCTTCTCCTGTGTCCAGGGTCTCTACGAACCTCATGTTCTAAACAGCCCACCTGGTGGAGACAAACAATATTCTTATGTTTGAGACTGGCTTGCTTCACTTAGAAGTCGAGTGCTCCCAAGATGAGCTTCCCTGACTGCCGAGCATCCCTGGGCAGCTGCTATGTGCGCCTGTGACCCCTGCACCCCATGCTCACTCAGCCTTGAGTCCATAACAATGGATAGGTGGAAACCAACCCCACTCCTTTATGCTTAGACAGTCACGTGATGCCCCAGTGACTTTGCCTTTGAGCCTAAGAATGGTGGTGCTCTTATCTACCCAGAGGCTCAAATCAGGACGTAAGCCTGAGACCTGCCATATTTTAGTCCCAAACAGGAATTCTAAAAGAAAGTTAAGGCTTATGAGGGTTTAACAAAATGTTCACACACCGTACCATTGGGTCTGCTTTATTCACTGCTTAATATAATAGTCCTGAAAAATCATTCAAACAATGCTTTTTATTAACATGGTGCTGTGGATGGAACTAGGGTTTCAAGCATGACAGATAGAGTTGCAGGCTGGTATGAGCCATAAGTGTACTGCACAGTCTCCATGCCTGACCTGGCAACCCTACAGCTTTCAGATAAACCTTAAAACCGTATTCTTAGCGGACTAGCAGCTTCCACCAATGTAGGCTACGAGTGTCACGAGCTCACATCTGAGACCAGCAACAGACTTCTCCATGCTGCGGCAACCCCAGTGATCCAACCAGTGTATGGACAAATGCCTGGATTTAGCTTTGTTATGAAACTAATGAAACCTGAATTAACTCTTTCTAAGGTGGAACATGCCTTTTTATATACTTCCTACCCCCCCACCCCCAACAAAGCATGGTTTCTCTGTATATCTCTGGCTGTCCTGGAATTTACTCTGTAGACCAGGCTGGCCTCAAACTCAGAGATCTGCCTGCCTCTGCCTCCTGAGTGCTGGGATTAGAGGCATGTGCCACTATGCCCAGCTATATACTTTTATTATAATATTTTTTTTGTGTGTATGGATGTTTTGCCTGCATGTATGTCTGTGTGCCACATGTGTGTGGTGCCTGTGGAGATAAAAAACATGACATGGAGTCCCACACCTGAAGTTACAGATGGTTGTGAGCCACCACGTGGGTGTTGGGGATTGAACCCACATCTTCTGGAAGAGCAGCCAGTGCTCTCAATGACTGAGCCCTCTAATCAACCCTGGAACATGTCTTCTGAGCAAATTCAAATCTGTGTTCCCAAGTCTCTCAGATTTGGCTCAGAGTAAACTGTTTATTCTCTTTGAAGTGAGCACGGTATTGAGTTGGCCATTAAGATGATCAATTTTATTTTGCATACATTGATGGTATTTAGTTTTCCATTATTGTGACAAAAACCCCAAAGCAATTAACTTAAAAAGAAGGGAGGTTTATTTTGGCTCAGAGTTTTTGGAGAATTCACCCATGACCAGCTGGCCCATTGCTCTCCGAGGGCTTCCTGGCAGGGGTGTGTGTGGTGGACTGCTGTTCTCTCTGACTGGACAGGAAGGAAAGGGGGAGTGAAGAAACTGGGCTCTCACAATCTCCCCGTGAGCACGTCCCATGACAAAAAGCCCCTCTTGTTAGGTCCTGCCTATCACCGCCTGATGGTGCCACCCTGAGGACTAAGGCTTGGAGACAGCTGGTCCTCAGGGTGGCACCCCTTTACCACAGTTTAGATATAAATGTAGAAGTAGAAATAAAAATGCATTGAGCTCACAGTTGTCCTTGCCCACGTTTATGAGGAAGGAGTTCCGTGGGATACTGTGTTCTCAGATACAATGGAAACACCCTTCTCCCATCTCTGTTTTGCCTGCCGCCCAGAGTCAGACTGGGAAAACCCGGAGAATGGTTCACACTAGGTCAAGGTCATGACAGTGACCTTCTGGCAGCTACCTCATCTTTCCTCAGGAAGCCTGCTGCTGTGGGAGGCTCGCTCAGCCCTGCAAGGCTGCCACAGAGGTGCAGGGTGCCACACAGTCTACAGCAGCTCTGGTGCGCAGCGGCCTGCCTGCCACACCTGCCTGTCCTGGGTAATCCCCACCCCCAATTGCTGCCTCTCTAATGTCACACCTCTAGTGTGCCTCACACCTTATAATGATACTGGCACCCTCACGTGGATGGTGTCTAATGAAGTGTGTGCTATCATTGCTAGCCATCCTGTCTGGTCCTCTAGCCTGGTCATCCTCACCCAAGGCCTCCTTCCCTCCACCCATTGCTGCCTCAGAGTCACCAGCCCTCTCTGGAGCCACCAAGAATGGCTGTTGTTCTGAGAAAAGCGTTTGAGATGGGGCCCTGTATCTGGGCACAAGGTACCAGTCTAGAATCTGCAGTGTGTCCATGAGTCAAGAAGTGTGACAGCCTTCTTTGTCTTTGCCCAGTTGTTGAGTGTGCCTGTCACATCTCAGGGCCAGCATGACTTTGCAGGGGCCATATTCTTCCAAAACATTTCAGTTGCCACAGGCCAGATATCAGGGGGAGTAGGAGGAAGGCAGAGGCAGGACAGATGTCCTCAGATACCATCAGGGCCTTGCCCACAGGGAGGGGAAGAGTCTGATGGACACAGATACTCAATTTAATGTGTATAGACAGGTTTATTTGTGCCCTGCCTTCCCCCTCCTCCAAATAAGCTCACATATGGACACACACACACACACACACACACACACACACACACACACACGTACACCTGGACATGTAGAAATGACTTTGACAGGGGCAAAGCCCAATCGTTCTACAAGTTCTCAGTAAATAAGGTAAGGAGGAGAATGACTAGCCCAAGAAAGACCCTCCTAGTCCCACATTCA